TCTCCTCTCCTCTCCTCTCCTCTCCTCTCCTCTCCTCTCCTCTCCTCCATGACAGTATATCTCAGAACTGCTTTACATCTACTAAACTCATATGTAAAATCTGCTTCCAGTGAAATACTACTGGTGCAGTTCAATAAGTTTGTTATTACTGATTTTATTATCCAAGTTGCCTGTTTCCTTAAGAGAGCTAATAGTAATATCTGTCCTCAGTACTGGTTGTTGAGGAGTTCTAAGGAATCTTCCTAACTTCATTTCATGAAAAATCACATTTTAATTTTCTAGAAGTATATTTGGACTTGGATTTATAGCAGACCAACGTAAGTACACTCTACTTTTATGGAAAATGTATCACTGAAGAGGACCAAAGAAGATGTAAAGGCATTTGACCGTTAGTAAATTCCAAAAGCTAACCTAAGCTATGTGGTCATTACAGCCTTTTCCTCCTTTTTGAAAAGCACTTCAGTATTTTTCCTGTTAACAGTCTGGCAAAGTTGGTGCTTTGGTCTGCCACTGAGTGTGGAAATTATAGTGGAATAAAAATGTAACTGTCATACTCACAGCACATGCAATGGAAATGATAAGATTTTCTCACCGTTAAAACTTTTTATGTGCAATAGGTCCATTTTTCAGCGCTTTCCAGACCAATGATGATGTTCACATACAGTGAATTCATTTCACTTACTAAATCTTGTAACAATACTAGTTAAATTACATGAGTTATCTTCTACGTGCAAAATTATCGCTCTCAAATTGTGGCTCAGTGCCTACATTTATGGCTTTTGTAAACAAGCCAGAAACTCATTATTCCTTGCTGTTAAATCGTGCCCTGTCCAGTGTACCACCAGAAGGTAGGCACATCATTTATGTGACGTACAAAAAGCACTGTCTTCTAAATAGAAACTAAAAACAATATTGCTTCCCTACTGAAGACGTTTTCTGTCACATGTAAAAGTGAGAAAGAGTTACAAAAACTCATCCCCAATAGTCTACCCTCTGAAGAAATACCACAGTATCCTCTCTTCCCATCTTTTCTGCCTCTGTGCATGGCAGGGATTTGTTTTCCGTAAGCCCAAAGCAATTTTCCCCGCTGTAATTCATGTTTATGCTGACTGCAGAATTGCTCCAAGAGTATTGCAAATAGCAGCTTAAACACTGTTCAGCTCTGGAAATTATGATTCTTTAAACATGTCATTAATTCTCTAATTTTATGTATGGAATAATTAAGTAGAATCTAGTTTATCACTCCTATTAGTTTCACTGTTTAGGACATTTGCTTGCAAACAGAATTAATTTAACCTTCCATTTTATCTCTTCATCTTTTTCTTGCATAACAAAACAGATTCAAAGAGTAAGTATTTATTTTCTGGTTTGTTTCTAATAGTTTGAATGGGAATGCTGACAGCTTACCAATGTTAGTTTTTGAGAAGGGTGACTGGAACTCAGTGAGACTCGCTTCCTACACTCCAGTTTGGTCCTGAGCATCACGTGTGGCAAGGTGTTTTAGCGTTATTTGTATGGCTACCCTCCGTGTTTCATTAATGCATGCTAACACATTAAATGATGCCATCATGCACAATATAGCCTGTTTCCCAGAGAGGACAAAAAAAGGATTTCCCCGTGTATATTCCTCAAACAAGCAAGTGCACGTCAGACTGGAGTGCAAATGAGAAAGCATGGGTTTCATTTTCTAGATATGGACAACAGAATTTCTTTTTTATACAGTGAATTTATCTATGGGGAAAAAAAACAGGAAAACTGATGAGACAAAAACTCACCAACCAAATGCAATGAGAAAGGAGTTTCAAGTCTTAAAGTGAACTTTGCCAGGGGATGTTTAAAATCACAATCTCTGACACTTGAATGAAGCAGCTGATCAAAGGAGTGTATTCTCTCCCCTACTGGGCTTGGGCCACCAGTATAGATAAACCTCCTGATGAGAGCAGTGCCAGAGCCTGGAATTCCTTGCTGTAAAGTGGCATGCTGCAGGTCAGGAGGTTTCTGACCATGCGGAGCTCTGGGATTTCCCCAGGAAAGAACAGCTAATGGGGAGATGAAAAAGATGGGTAAAAACTCATGTTACCACTTCTGTTTAGAAGTTGAAAGGCAAGAATGTTTTGAAAACTTCAGCAAAAAAAAAACAAACAAACTAGACAAATTCACAGCTTCTCTTAGGTCTCAGTGTGCTTCTAACGAGTCCGTTTCTCCATCCCTACACGGCTTACCAAAGGCGACAGGCTGAGTGTGCTAAGACTGCAAGAATCCAGATGGCCCTACCGGCAGGCAAACCAGCAAGCTCTGCTGCCAATAACCTCTACGAAGAGCTTGGTGACAGCACCATGTAAGTATTCCTTGCCATACATCAACATGGTAATGACTGAAGCCATGACTCATTTCATAGAGATGTCACTTGGAGAAATCTTTCCTTTGTGAAGGGATATTTCTCCAGCTGCTTGGGATTCTCACATATCTGGAAAATAAGTAGAAGGACTCTGTAAGGAGATTTAGAAAAAAATTAACCTGCTAAGGGGGATTTCTCTTAGTGCAGAGGGGAATATCTAACAGGTATTAATTTGGCAAGAACTGAGGCATAATCAGATGGGTTTTTTGAGAGCAGCAGCCTTTGCTGTCATGGTGAGCCAAGATGGCTTCTTCATAGAAACCCATGCCAACCTTTTCCAAAGCTACTGAGTAAGCACATCGAGTAAAATTGCTGCTCCAAAACCCTCATTTGCTGTAGTATAAAATATTAAATTTGGTAAAGCGTTGTTTTATTTTCTTGCTACTTTTTTTTTTAATCAAAACCATTAAATATAAAGGAACTACCAGTGTAGAGGAACCACTGGCAGTGCAGTGCAGTGGATGCATCTTTTACCTATTACTTGCTCGTAATACAGTAATATTGCAGAGATGCCTACCCTTTCATGCTTCTGTAAATCTGAAGTTTATGGAGTCCAACAGGAATTTAATTTTCAGTATGGGAATGTGACAGCAGAGGAGAGCCAATTAATATTTGTATTATAGTAAGGGAGTGTTGCTGATAACTTCGCCACTCTTATTCTTCTATGTTTGTATTTTAAAAACAAATGACACTGAAGAGCGTAGCAACAATAATGCTTGGAGGCAGTGAGACAGAGCTACTGGTGTAAGTGAGGACTGCCAACTTCTGTATTTTCTGTCCTAATTTGTTTAGCTCCAAGTGTTGAAATGACAAAGATGCTGTGATTGATTTGATTAAACGTTAAGGAGGTGTGACAAGGCATGTAACTGCTGCTTTAACTCTTAGCCATCTGAAAGCAGTCTCTCAGTTTGAAATGAGGTGGGTTTTTTTTTCTGAGCTTGAGGTTTTTTATACATGGAGACGGGAACTGTACTGGCAGCAAGAACTGCTTCTCATAAATGCTGGATTCCCTCCTTACAACCTTTTGCCTCTGTGAAATGTTACAGCTTGGGCAGGAAGGGAGCATATATAGTCATATCTCTGAAAGTGGGCACTTCTGGTTGTGAACCAAATAGGATTACATCTGTACAATTACATATGCTGTGAAATGCTGCGTAGCATTCCTGCTTCTTTTGAACTGACAAAGTACTTGCTGAAACTAATGAATGACTTCTGCTGATTACAATGGCAGTGTTTAAATGCTGATAGTAAGTGGGGATTGAATGTCCCAGTGGTTGGATCTGTGTTTTGTACTCCAGTTAATGCCTTTGACTAAACCAAATCAAGCCTCACTGTGCTGGGCTATTTTGCTATTTTACCTGCAGAGATTTTTTATGTTTTAGTACTGAAACATATAGGTGTCAATTTGTATATTGTTTTTAAGACTTAGAACTAGTTTTCAGAGCACTGAAGTAAGACTGCGTATTTGGAATGCTTTTCCGTGATGGCTGTCATCCATTATTTTAAGGAACTGATCAAACACCTACTAATAGAAATCTTTTAAAAATAAATGAGCACTCTTAGGAGTTAAAAAATAATAATAAATCAGTAATACAATAAAAACAAGTACAATTAATCTTTTCTCTTTTTTTGCTGCCAATTATTTGATTTCAAGGCACAGGTATAACCTAGGAAATTATTCCTTAGGAAGTGTCTTTTACTAACTTTTAATATGAATTTTAGTAAAATATGTCTTGCCTTCAGCTGTCTTGAGAGTCATCTTTCATTTGCAGCACTGCCTTGTGTCTTGTTTTCTTAATTTGGTGTTTATAGCAAATGAAATGAAACCAAGCTCTTTAGTTTTAAATCTGCCTTGTCTCATAATTTTCGTTTTCCTCTGTCTGGATACGTAGGCATCAGTAAGTAAGCTCATTTCATTGTCTTAATATTCATAGCTACTAGAAATGCTAGTTTTCCTTTCCTTACTCCCCATAGAACCTTGCAGACCAAAACTCATTTTTTAATTGTCCATTGATCAAGTGCAGGAAAGACATTTACTGTGCAGTTCCAATATCTGTATGCCTCTTCATCCTTTTGTAGGAACTAGAAGTGAAATATGATTGCTGAACTTGAACGGTATTATTTCTAAAGCCAAATAGTCCCAACTGCTTAAATAAATAAAGTCCTGATTGCGTGCACAAAGATTTGCTCTGAGTTCGTGGACTTCAGATGTTATAATTGATGCAAGCAAAATCTTTCAGTCTGCTATTTGTAAATCCCTGCAAAGTGGGTGCTCATCTTTCAATTATGAAGATATTTATACTGGTGAGATGATGTTTTCATTGGTTAAAATACCTGTACATAAACAGAAGGTGATTTCAGGATCATCTCATCTGAGAGAGTACTCAGGTGAAGCGAGGAAGGAGCTGAGAAGCTTTTGAAATAATCCGTTCCAGTAGCATAAAGGTTATGTTATCTTGCATGAGCTTTCTACTGGAGGGCTTCCTTCAAGTTCAGAATCGTTTATTTCACTCATCTCTAAAGAGATGGAGGATGCTTGACCAATCTCTCAGTACACTGAGAATGAAGAATTAGTTTATTGATAGTGTGAAATCAATTATTTTTCATCCAGCTCTACACTTGAACAGTTATCTACAGCACATGATTATATTCTGTCCAAAGGCATAATGATTTTTGGAGAATTGCGGTGCTTGGGGAAGAGTTTATGCTGTGCACTAGTATAACTCTCTGTGGTTTTGCTGGTTACTGTTCATGAATAGGAAAAGTGAGCCCTTCCCTCAGATATCTACGTAACGGAACAGTCTGACCAAGAGGTCTAATTATACCTCTTCTTCCAACATTCATGTAGAAACGTGAAGTGTTGGAACTTTTCTATTACTCCTTCTTTTCGGAGGTTAACAGAATATGACTCAATTCTTTGTAAATGTGGGAGTTTTTAACTCCAATTCTCCAATTTAACTCCGAGACAGCTCAGAGTCCCTAAAAATACTTTCAGTGGTATTTTGAATAGCTTTTTTTGTGCATAGATATTATTACTCTCATGATATACTTTAGCCAAAGTTGCTTAAGAAAAGGTGAAGGTTTTCACTGTGGCGTTGAACACATGGGGTGACAGCAAAGCATCTTCCCTAATGGCAAAAGCAGTGAAGCTGCAAACAGATTCTGCAAAAGCAGTAAGGTAATCTTTACACCCCACTCTGCCACGGTGTCTCCTTACACTACTATGTTCTTCTCATTGCCAGTCCTGCAGATATATTTAAATTTTCCCAGAGAGCTTGTAGAGTAGGTGTCTGTTTTAAGACTGTTTTCTTACTTCCCTATGCTAGACAGGGATCTGTTTGGTTACAATTAATCTCTACATGGCAGCAATGGAAATGCTTTTTTTTGAGTCACTTTGACAAGGGGAATAGTCTGTTAGACAGTACAAGGGTTTCATTTTTCACTATAGCTGGAGCTGGCCAATATCTTGAATTTTTCACAGATTGAGGGGAAATAAGTTTATTTTCAGCTCCAGGTAAGCATTACTTAAAGCAGGACTCTGAGAGCACTCTTTTCTAGCAGCTAAACTGAGGATGCTGATAATGATATACTTCTCATCTTAAAACTTGCTCAGAAATTTGTGGTATTAGAGTGATTTGAGGAAGGTAGGTTAAAGAGGCTCTCCAAGGTGCTAGATAAATTCCAGAAAACAGTGATGCATTGTACTTTTGGACAATATAGATTTTTGGACAATGTAAATTAAGTGTAATCAAACTACAGGTGTTTTTCACACATTAATTGAAATTCATACACATACTGATACCTCTGCATCAATATATGCATTGTAAAAACAAGGCTGAGTGCTCGCACTGGCAATTCTTTAAAAATCAGTCTCAGAAGAATGATCAGGAGTGCAGCATGCGTATGTGCTGACTGGCTTCAGCTCCTTTTGGCTTACACCTTACAGCTCTGAGCTTTGGTTGAGCCTGGGGGCACTTCTGATTTCTCCTGTGGCCATGGCTTCAGGCTCATGTTGGCTTGGAGAACAGTTCTAATTCTATGAGTGACCTACAGGCACTCTGTAAAAGATAGCAGAGGCACACTTAATGGCTGCTTAATCATATACTTTTATACAATAGCGGAGGTTTGACACACAATTACAGAATAGGCTTACCTTAAAGATTCTTGTGAATATTCTGTGTTGACTGTGTGCTGTTTGGCACATTGCCACTGTCATGTCAGTGATGGAAACGAATAAGCTCACAGAACGACTGCACAGAAATACTAGGTTGCATTGGTGATTTGTATCACCGTGTAGACAGGATACAGTACCAACCTTGATGCTTCCAAAATCTAAGGTTTTGTAGAAGATGTCACCAATTTCCAAACTTATGGAGTACACCGAAATTTGTTTTAGTGTCTCCTCTGCAAGTTCTTCCTCCCTAATGAAGATGTGAAAGTAAATGTCTTGCCCAGTAGTCTAGTATATTTTTTTTCTGTTGGATAGTTGTAGTTTGCTGGAAGTAATGTTATGGCTGTGATTCATATCATAAGTTCTTTTTTTCTCTCTCATAAAAATCTATGTCCATGCATGTTTCCTTACATGTGATTATCTTCTTTTCTTTCAAGTCTTTTTCTTCTCTACCATTTCCAACAAAGCAGGGGAAAAAAGTCAGTCTTAGAAGAAGGAGATCGGCAGAGAGTTATAAGCAGCTTTGCTTCCCGTGCCATTGAGGCTCACAAGCAATCTAATATCAATGGATCATTGAACAATAACCTCCCCAAATCTTCAAGTAACATTACTTTCTTATCTGATGAGAACCCACTAACTACTCAAAACCCATTGTATGTGGAAGGTGTCACTCAGAGTCCTGCTGCTGCTGGGTTACTGCGGAAAAGAAGCGATGCTCTAGATACTCTTTCTCCTATGCAGTTAGTCTTGAGAGATGCCTCTCTGGGAG